AGATCCGGCGCTACCAGAAGTCCACGGAGCTGCTGATCCGCAAGCTGCCCTTCCAGCGCCTGGTGCGCGAGATCGCGCAGGACTTCAAGACCGACCTGCGCTTCCAGAGCTCGGCCGTCATGGCGCTGCAGGAGGCCAGCGAGGCTTACCTGGTGGGGCTCTTCGAGGACACCAACCTGTGCGCCATCCACGCCAAGCGCGTCACCATCATGCCCAAGGACATCCAGCTGGCCCGCCGCATCCGCGGAGAGCGCGCCTGAAGAGTCCCCTGCCGCAGCCCTCTAGACCCAAAGGCTCTTTTAAGAGCCACTACATGCACAATAAAAAGAGCTGTATCACTGCTTAAAATTATTTTCAAATTCACCCGTGCTTTGGAAAATAGTGAAGTAACTTAACACTAGATGAGGGGAGGAGTTGAATCTGAGTTAAAGGAGGGTGATTAGAGCGCTTCAGGCAGGATAGAGGGGTTTACATCCCTGTGACTGATGGGTGTGACACAGCTCTAAGGGAAAAAGGAGGGGTGGAGGGGGCTGACAGGGACATTCCAGTGTCTGGAGGAAATCTGCACTTTAAACCCCGGCTGGCTGGTTCAAGGCAGAGCAGGAACTTCCCATGTTAGTGTCAAACCGGGCTGGAACAAATGGCCTTAAGAGGGGCTGCTGCCTTGTTTTGTCAGTTCTTAACACCAGGGACAAGAATATCCATCTCAAATCAGTTTTGATTATCTCAGGTTTGATATATATTCTTATACCTGCTCTCAAAACATCGGATGAACATAGTGATGACACAGGGTGCATAAGGCTTCTTGCAGCACAGAAAAGTAATAGAAAAGGCCAAGAAACTCATTGAAAAGTACTGTAGACAGGAATAACTTACCAAGCTTTTCCAGATTTGTTACCATAATAATACAAAACTTGGGGGAAAAAGGCTGTGCATTTTGGGTTTGTGGGTTTTTTGAGGGGTTTTTATTGTAGGTGTTTTTTTGGTTTTGTTTATTTGTTCTGGTATTTTTTTTGGTCAAAGGGATGGATATTTCCAATAAGTTTTATAAAAATCATAGAGCAAAAATTTATGTATTCTTGCACTAGTGGAAGTAAAAGTATTTGTCTTTGAATTTGTATTTCTCTGGTAGTGGTCTCCATATTTAATATATGCTGAGTTATCATTTCTCCAGCCAGTTCTTTAGGATTCTTTATGAGTTTCTGGAAGGACAGGTGCAAACAACTGCAGTTTTCAGCCTTCTAAGCACCCACCTTTGTTTGAATTCTTTCCATGAGACAAGGACATTCTAATAAGAGTCTGAGAATCAAAATAGGAAGTTAAAAATTAAACCTCAGATTCATTAGCAGCTGTTGTTTCTCCAGTTATTTTTGGAACCATTTCCCTTTCTTCTCTCCATCCACAAAAATTCACATCTGCTACCTTGGGTTTCAACAGTCCTGATGACTGAAGAGCGCTTGAAGGCTGCTGCTAGAAGGCAAAGTGCCCCCTTGTTGTCATTTTGGGCATCATTTGCCTTAGAGATGCTTCACTACAGAACTACAGACCCCATCTGTCAGAGACAGCTCTTGGGGGGCTGGGAAAAGAAAGCAGAAAGGCTTGCTGAGTGTACCAGCCAGACAGAATAAAGATTTCTTTGGTGGGGTTCTGCCTTTCATCTGTTTTCTCCCTCCTTTTATTCTTCCTCCCACATAATGGCCCCTGAATGATTTTATTGATCATCATGATTTGGTTTTTGGAACAAGGTTGGAATGGAAGGAAAGTTGTATTTTGTAGCATGATGAAAATTTCTTCTTGTCTTGATTAAGCAGCACATTGTTATAAGAAACTTTGGACTAACAGCCTGGAGAGAGAAGGAAATATTTCAGTAGGCCATAAAAATTCCATGTTCTCTTAAAAGTCAGAGGAAAGAATAAATAAAAGGATAACCTCAATCTTTGTTTCTTCTGTAACTTTTCTCTAATAAATCCTTTTTCTGTTTCTTTGTTTCTGCTGCATCTCTTCGGTATTTTTTTTTTTATTCTTGGATTTCTCAGCCTCCTTTGGACTGAATTCTTTTGGGATCCTCCCTCATGGGGAGCCCTCCTTATCTCCGTTCTTATGATTCCAAGAAAACTTCCCAGCTCGTTAGAATCTTGTTTCTCGTGTTTATTAAAAGGTCATCACAAAACTTAACAGGTCTCTCCAGGCTGGCTACACAAGGTTAATCTTTGCAATCTGGTACATTTCTTTCTTCTGATGGTACAAACAAGGCCTTGTGGCACACTTCGTGTCTGATGCACAAAATGGCCCTGAAATACGCAGTTCTTTTACCTTTATACCTATTTTTACCCAATTAACAGTAGACATGTATATTATTTTTCTTAATGACCCAATGACCCATCACCTCAGTGATGCACTGCGGCATTTTCTATCCAATCACTTACTATTACCCAAAAACCTCTAGGAGAAGAATATGAAGAAGAAAGAAGAAGGGACAAGGGACAGCACCCTAAATCCTCCATCTTGTCTCCTGTTCTCTAAACTAACTTTTTCACCCAGTGATTTAAAAAAACTTTCTAACCTACACACTTACACTTTTAGCTTTTTCTATCTAACTTTAAGATTTGTTTTCATGTATCACCATGAAAACATGCTCATGAATTTCATATTATATGAAATTCAGTGTTTTTCTAGATCTTATAACTAAGTATCAGAAACAAGGGCACACACTCTGTATTCCAGACTCCAACATCTTCCTTCTTCAGTTTCAATAGAGCATATTTCACACTAACTACTATAACTATTTTAACTAACTAAAATAAATTAGTAGAAAAACTCTCTATTATTTCTAACAAGTAGCACCATGTCAACACTGTAAGATCCTACCCAGCCCCTTTTAGCAATTTGACTGGATGTCATTGGTTTGCAACCTGAGAACAAAGAGAAGATATGAACAACTTGCCAGTCATAATGAAGAATTTTCTCATTTGCTTTTGAGAGCAGATGCCACAGACTCCTATCAGGGCAGGCTCTATAGAGCCCGGGTGTGCACAATAAGCAGGCACCAGTGACCCCTGCCTCTATTTACAATTGTAACACTTCTAAGGTTTTAGCCTTTTTAACCTTTGCTAACGTCAAATTTGGGCCCAGTTAGGAACTTTAAGTCAATAATAAATTGCAAGTGTGTAGCAACAAGTACTATCAAGATAGAAGGTACTGAAGTTTTAGAGAGTAGGCAGAAATATTGTTAATTTTAATATTATAATAATGCAGTTCCTTTTAAATCACACTTAGGCACAGTCTCTGTACTCTTCCAGCAGGAGCACTACCATCATATAAATTCTCACCCCTTTCTCTACAAGTGGTAATGCACAAACAAAAGAATAAAAGATAGTAGAGCCATTTCAACTAAAAGAGACTTAGAGTGATCATCTAGTACAAACTGTGAAACACTTTCTATTATTTAATACAACATATAATATTGGAACTGCAGGAAAACATGCCAGATGGTGCTGAGGCAGAGGAGAGTGAGAAAGAGATGGATGGATCTGAAATAATTGAAATTTGGGAATGGAAGAAGAGCATATGAAAGTGTGTATACAAAAAGTTATATAACATTTAAATATGTGTGCTTATATAGCTTTTGTGCATACATCCCTATGCTATTAATATTTCTTGTATATACCATGTTTACCCTTGTGTATTGTTTCAGAAAAATACCATATGAACTCACTTTCTGGGCTCCCAACATGTTATACTCAAATAAGTGAATTTTAATTTCTGAAAAATTTGGCTGATAACATTTACAGAAGTGTTTTGGACAGTCCATTGTCAAGGACAGAAGAAAATAAGTTGTGAGAGCAAAGAAACAAAATCAATAGAAATCTCAGTGCTTTATTTGTGAATTTGTAGAAAACATGACCTCTCTAATGTACTAGAACAGTGACAGACTCTAAGACTTGGCACAACAAAAAATTGAACTAAAGGCCAACTGTAATTTCCTGACTACAAAATTTTATTGAATTAACTAAATTTTGCTAAGTGTTGGCCTTTGATCTCCCTGTGCATGTTTCTCTCCTGACTCAGTTTTCTTGTCATCAGATACAAAACACTAATCTTTAATGCTCAAAACAATATAATCCTATTTCCTATAGGTCTCCCATTGGTTAAATCTGTCAAGTCTTCACAGCCACTTTCTTTTCTTCAGCTGATCTGGTCCCAAACAGAAGCCACAGAACTTTCTCTGTGCCAGTGATCTCCATGGATTGGGAAAACAGAAGAGAGGTGGCCTGTCAGAAACAACCACTGGATTCTCTTTGACCTCCCAGGTTCTCCTTGGTCATCTTCTCCAGCCTGTCCTCAGTCATAACACTCACACAGAAAAACATACTACCAAAAGAAAAGGAAAAAAATAAATCAATTAGACTAAATTATTGAATTTTTCAATTTTCAATCCTATCATCAAGTTTATCATCTTAGCACTTCTGTTTTAGTCACGTGATAGAGGTAGGGCTCTGAGATATCCAGTTACAATTTCAAGAGTACACCACAGAAAAAGCAACTATAGATTGCAATAGTCAATAAAAAGCAGTGAAACTTGATGTTTTTCTTCCAATACTAACTCTGGTTATACATTCCACAATGCTTTAAAATAAAACGGGGGCTAGTCCAAGCAGCCTATTTCACAGAAAGTATCAAATTATATACTTGGTGGGGGGAGGGAAAGGGGTGGGTTAAAGTGTGGGCTGTCTGCCCTAGTAGTGCAATTTTTCATTTGCCTATCTGAACATTCATTTGCTCTGTGCATTTACTTATTCTGTGGTTCAATGGACTTTAGCAAGAACCTCACTAAAACAGCACACAACACTGCCTAAACAAGAAAGAAGCTCCAGGTGAATTATTGAAATTATTAGTATGCTTATGATAGAACTTAAATAATCTTTAAGAAATTTAGAATCACTGTATTGTAAGGAAGCGTAGGAAATGCTATGTTTCAACTCTCTTGTGCAATGTAGTGGCTCTTAAAAGAGCCTTTAGGGTGTGGGCAAAATAATTCAGGATCCCTTGGAGTGGACCTGAGGTCGGAGGCACCTCAGGCGCGCTCCCCGCGGATGCGGCGGGCCAGCTGGATGTCCTTGGGCATGATGGTGACGCGCTTGGCGTGGATGGCGCACAGGTTGGTGTCCTCGAAGAGCCCCACCAGGTAAGCCTCGCTGGCCTCCTGCAGCGCCATGACGGCCGAGCTCTGGAAGCGCAGGTCGGTCTTGAAGTCCTGCGCGATCTCGCGCACCAGGCGCTGGAAGGGCAGCTTGCGGATCAGCAGCTCCGTGGACTTCTGGTAGCGCCGGATCTCGCGCAGCGCCACCGTGCCGGGCCGGTAGCGGTGCGGCTTCTTGACGCCGCCCGTGGCCGGNCGGCGCGCTCTTGCGGGCAGCCTTGGTGGCCAGCTGCTTGCGGGGCGCCTTCCCGCCCGTCGACTTACGCGCCGTCTGCTTCGTGCGCGCCATAGCAAACCAGGAACACAACCCGGGAAAGGAGAAAGAAATGAGCGCAGCGCTGGCTGAACCGCCGTTATTTAAAGAGCTGCCGCGTCTCTGATTGGCCCGGTAGCCGCGCGCTCTGATTGGTCCAGTAGCCGCGCGCTCTGATTGGCCCGGTAGCCGCGCGCTCTGATTGGCTGCCGTGGGATGCCTGCCGGGCCCGGGGTAGCTGAAGCTGTGCCGGAACCGCTCGGCTCCGCTCCGATCGCTCCCAGGGCCCGGGGCGGGCCGGGTGCTCCGGACACAGCGCTCGTAACCCTCCTGCTTCTCCGCCTCTACATCCCTGCCGGCCTCCTGACAGCTTGAAAACCGCTCAGAGGGTACAATTCAGCAGTTACTTGCACCTGTTTTTTTTCTCTGTGTCCACAGTTGTTTCGGTTTGCTTTTTTTTAGTGATAGGTTGGTTACAAAAGAAGGAAAAGGTTTTTTCAGCGCCGTACAAAGCTCCTTACGTGACCAGGCACGTTATTCCCTGAGACACAAAGGACAGATGGGTTGGTACCTTGAAACAAAGGCGCTCCAAAAATCCAGTAACACAAGTTCTTAACTCTGGTAAGTATTTACGAGGCCGTCATGATTAAGTTTTTGAGGTACTATTTTCACATATTTTCATGTTTAATTTCACTAGGACATTCTGAATGAAAAGCTTTACATACCATCAGGAACATTGTGATTATGATGATAGTACTTAGGCCATTTTTCTTTTATGGTGAAAATAATTGCAAAAGTTTATATTAGTCTCCTATTTAATTGTCCCTATGCACGAAGGAGTGAGAAAACCAGACGTGACCGCATATATTTGATATCATTGCTTACAAGTGCCAAGTGATTTTTAATGGTTTTTATATAAAGTTGAAATCAGTTTTTTTCCTTGCAGTTGCGAATTACAAGAAAAAATTTCTTGAAGTGAGTCGCAGACTACAGTGCTCTTTGTATGTGATAATGATAAAAATGCTAACACAAGGCTTTTTATACATTTTTTTTTTATTGTGGTTCTCGAGTCATAATTTACTTTTATTGTCTCATTCCCTCCTAGCCCTTCCCTTCCCCCTCCTCAAATGATCACTAGAAAACTATATTAGATTTACTATTATTTTAAAAGCAAATAAATCCTAGACAGGGAAATAAAGGGGGTGGAAATTGAAATATGAGAAAAAAAAAAATCATCTCAGAGCAACTTCCCCGTTTGTTCCTCGTCGAAGAATTTGTCCAAATTTCTCTGTATCCAGTTAATGGCAAAATTGAAAAATCAAGACATAGAACAGCATTTTACTTTTAATGTTTAAACCAGCAAACATTCAAAAATTTGATTTTTATTACAGAGCAGTTAAAGTGAGAGTTTTGAAAGAATTTGGAACACAGAAATCATCTATAGCAAACACGGATTTCCTGCCAACAGCAAAGTTACACATTGAGAAGCACTCAAAAACTTAATAGCATTACATTGAATGTTTTAGATGGGTAATAAAGTGGTGTCATGGTTGCCCCCCGTCCTGATGTTCGCAAAACTGTAATACAGCTCTTTTAAAGGAATAAGTGGGTGGCTCTTAAAAGAGCCTTTGGGTTCTTGTCCAGATGGTCCGGTACGAGCCGATGGTTCGGCTTTAGCCGCCGAAGCCGTACAGAGTGCGGCCCTGGCGCTTGAGGGCGTAGACCACGTCCATGGCGGTGACCGTCTTCCTCTTGGCGTGCTCCGTGTAGGTGACGGCGTCGCGGATCACGTTCTCCAGGAACACCTTGAGCACGCCGCGCGTCTCCTCGTAGATGAGCCCCGAGATGCGCTTGACGCCGCCGCGCCGAGCCAGGCGGCGGATGGCCGGCTTGGTGATGCCCTGGATGTTGTCGCGCAGCACCTTGCGGTGCCGCTTGGCGCCTCCCTTGCCGAGCCCCTTGCCGCCCTTGCCTCGACCGGACATGATGGAGCCGCTGCTGGTTTCGCTACTACTATCGATAGAGAACCCACCGCCGCTGCTGCCGCTGCCGCTCTGAGCCAGCACCGCCCGCGCCTCCGCCTTTATACGCTG